CGAGAGTGGATCCTCACGGCGGCTCACTGCGTGCACAGGTACCTCCGGGCTCTCCTTGCCCAGCCCCGGAGCCGCTCTGTATCTGGTCTCGTCCCAGGCCTCGGCACTTGCTGCCCTGCAGTAAGAACCGTCCTGTATTTCTGCTCAGTTACAGGCGGCTTCAAGCCTCCGCCTGGCTGGTGTTCGCAGGCATTATCAGCCATGGCTCAATCAATCAGGAGGCCGGGGCGTCAGTAGAGAAAATAATTTACCACCCGCTTTACGATGGTAACAGCCTCGACTATGACATTGCTCTAATGAAGCTGCAAGTCCCTCTGAATTTCTCAGGTAAGATGCTGTCACGTCCTCCTCCCATCTGTGGAGCTGTCTGTTGTCTTGTCCCACTATTAAGAGATGGCCAAAACCCAGCCTCTTCCGAAGCTGCCGTTTTAGAGCAGCTCTTCAAGGATATCCCGGCTGGCACCTGGGGCAGCGCGCACAGCAGCGCGGTGTTTTCAACTGTGCCGGAGCTGTGAATTGCTGGGAAGGTGCCTGTGGGAGCTGAGGCCTCCAGAGAGCCTGGCCCGAGCGCTTTTCACTTCAACATGCCAGACTGAGTGGCTTTGCAGGCTGATAGATCCCCGGCTGCTCGTGCTCAGCACAGCACGAAGCTGCCCCCACTGGCCCAGCACTTACCCCTCGTCACCTTCTTACCAGACGCCGTCCGTGCCGTGTGCCTGCCACCCTCCCACCAGGACCTCTTCCAGGGCGCGCAGTGCTGGGTCTCCGGCTGGGGCTACACCAGACCAGACCAAGGTAAGCTCCCAGCTTGTCCCTGCCGCTCAGCACTGACCGGAGGCTTTCCCCTTGCTCCCCACTGGCCCCGTCCAGCCCCTTCCATGCCACATGCAATCTTGCAAAGGCCCCCTCCTGCCTTCATCCCTCCCCCGCTCCAGCGGTGCCGCACCCCACTTCCACAGCTCCTGTGGGCCTGGCCGTATTTCATCTCGTGTGGTAACCGCATCTTTCCCGACTTGACTTGGCCAGCCGGGGCCCTGCTCTTCCCCCCTCGCTCCCTGCGAATCTGGTGTCCCTCTTGGCTTCTCTCTCCCTCCCCTCCCCAGCACAGGTTACGGAGACGCTGAAGGAAGCCCTCGTTCCCTTAATCGGCACCAAGAGGTGCAACAGTTCGTGCATGTACGCCGGCGAGCTCACGGCCAGGATGCTGTGTGCCGGCCACCCGCGGGGGAAGATAGACGCGTGCCAGGTACCAGGAGGGAGCACGTGCTGCACGCTGGGCGCGCGCAGCAGGCGTGCAAAGGGCCGGTAGGTCGCACATCCCTGCCGCGCTCCAGCAGAGGCTGGGTTTTGTGGCAATAGCTTGAGCGCACAGCCTGAGTGAGGGTAGCGCTGGGCCCGTGGCAGCTCGGAGCCCGCAGCGCCCCAGGGCACTGATGCTGGGCCGAGAGTTAGCGCTCTCTGGAGAAGGAACGTGGAACCCTTGCCGGGAGGCGCCCGCTGCTTCTCCTGCCTGCGTTCCAGCTTCTGGTACGTCCGACGGAGCCAAGGCAGAGCTGCGCCGCCAGCCCGCCCTCTCTCTCGCAGGGTGACAGTGGGGGCCCCCTGGTTTGCCGGGATGAATCCGTGTGGCGCTTAGTCGGCATCGTGAGCTGGGGCCAGGGCTGTGCTGAACCCAACCGCCCCGGGGTCTACACCAACGTGGCTCAGCTTCTGCCGTGGATTTACCGCACCACCGAGGTGAGCTGGAGCGAGCGGAGGCGGAGGCGTATGGTCAGCCTCACCAGGAGCCCTGCACCTTGCACAGACGAATCCCGGCGCAAGAATCTGATTTTAACTCTTTCCTTTACTACCCTACACTCACTCCTGGTGCATGAACCTCTGCGATAACCTCTTTTATGGTACTGATTCCTTTTTTGGTGTGGGTTTTTTTTTTTTTTTTTTTAATTATTTTGGACTAGATCTACTAGAAATAAGGCAAGGAGAGACTTCACAGAGCAACACTTTGCCCTTTCCATGCAGTGAGTGGAGAACGGTCCAGGACGAATTTGTACTGTGTTACTATAACCCTAACAGAATCCCCAGACAACACCAAAAAACCAGGCTCAGTATAAATTAGTTTATTAAAGAAAATAGCAAATTACATTTCTGTGAACAACCCACATGGGAGAAGTGATGTTTTTCAAAATACACTGTTTTTTGGATAGCTGTGTGTAAAGGGGCAGGGGATCCCATGAGACGCAAGCGTTACGGGAACGCTCAGCCTTCAGATGATAAATTACTTGGAGGGGCAGAACCGCAAACGCTGGAGTTCTAAGCGGCAGCCAGATTCAGCTTCAGCATCTCCCTCCCTGCCTGCATGCCCCCGTCTTGGACAGTGCGACTGTCGCCCCTCCCCGTGCCGGTGGAAGCCAGAAACAGAAGGCACCAGCCGTGGCTGTGCTCGGCGGGCCCGGCAGGCAGAGCGGCCTCCCAGGCCTGCAGGGGCTCGGGTGCAGCGTGAGCGCCGGCGGTGACTCGGGCCCCGTGCAAACGCTTGGAAACGTGAACAGAAGTGAGACGGAGGTGCAGATGAAACGGATACAACAGTCGATAACGGACTCAGACGTTAAGCTCGGTGATCGAAACTTGTGTAAGCACTACGTGGCAGGAAATACTTGGTTCCGTGCGCGCAGCAACCGGCACATCTTGGCCTCTGGGCTGTGTTGTAGTGAAAGCTCTTGGTGGAGTTGTTCAATTAAAAGAAACGTACGTTTCTCAGTCTCACACGTAGCCTTTTGTGACTTAAAAGATAACGCTAGGAGTGCACGCTTCGTTCCCTTTTTATATGCATTTACATTTCTGTCACTAGTCTTAAAGGACAGAAAATTCACTACCAGAAAGACAGCAGCTGCCGGACCTACCTAGTTCACGCACAACAAAAAGGTACAGGAAGGGGCTGAACTGGCTTCTACAGTTGGTAGAGTAAGGTTGAAAAGTTCTAAGTCAGTTTTAAGATATTCCCCGTGAGAAATAAAGCCATGAGGAATTTTGCTACTTGTGCAAAACCCTGCGACTGGACAAACAGTTCACTCGGAACAGGAGCTCTTCCCCCCCATCCCTAAAGCTTCACCCGCTTGAGGTCTGCTCTTCTGGGAAAGAGCAAAGTTTGGCACTTCAGCACCCTTAGGATATCAAAAGCTATCGAAGTCTGTGGGTTTCACCTGTGATTTGCAGGGACAGAAGAGGTAAGACGCAAAGGGGCTGCCGGCCCCCGGATGTAAAACTGCATAGGTAAGATTCACCGTTGAGAAATGGAAATCCCTCTACAAGACCCTTAAGCAAGCAAGCTTGAGATGATGACATCATACAGCGCCTTGCACGAGAGGCCCAGCTGACAGCAGTGCCTGTTCTCACAGAGATGTTGGATACAGGATTTGATTGATTTCCCTACGCTGGGCACAGGGGAAGTACGCAGGAAGATGAAATCCTAGAGAATGGAAATAAGCAAACGTGACAAAAAGCATCTCTTCTTCACCAGGACCTACACCCACCAGCTCACGAAGAAAAACCTGGCTCTGGGCAGAAGGACCGCTGGGGAGCGTGGCAGGAGATTGAATTTTCAAGCCCAAGCTCCGCCTGCCCGGCAGACGGAGCGTAAGCAGTCAGCGCCCACGTGTTCCCCACCTCCGCCTGCTCTGGTGCCGCGCCGGCAGAGCCATCCTCTCTGCCCTGCAAACACTGACCTAGGAAATGTTTCTTCTCCCCCAGTCAAGCCTCCAGGAAGCATTTACCTAATGCTAAGCTTTTTTTACACCAGTACGAATAAGAAGGGTCAAATCCAAAGAGTATTTGAACGACTCGGTTTGCTCTCGCTTTATCACAAGATGCAACACGCAGGAGTAAGCGCAGAGTTACTTGATTTTGGCCAGTGCCGCCGCTCTCCTTTCGGTGTTCTGGAACAAGGCTCGGATCAGACTCTTCACTTCAGCTGCGGAGAATTCGGCTGCAAGAGGCCCCTTCCCATCCGCCCACCTGCGTGGGAGAGAAAAGATTTTCCTCTAACCAAAGCGCACAGGAACGTCACGTTAACGCAAGCCGCCCGAGCACGTGTTACGGCAGCAAGTCCGAGGGCAACCAAACCGAGCCTGCAGCCTGTGAGCTGCATGCAGCGTGAGCCCAGAACGGCTCAGCTAGGTGCATGAAGCACCAGGTTGCGAGCTGACTTCTGCATCCGTTACAAACCCCCTTTTTCTTCCCCAAAATAGGCGTAAAGCCTGTCTGCAGAATTCCCACTCGCCTCCCAAACAACAGGAGGGGGAAAAAAAAAGGTGCTTTAAGCCCAGCTGGAAGCAGAGTTGAGTTGGGAACCTCTGGTGTCTAACACGGTACCACAGCAGCATCGAGCAGGACACAGAAAAGGACGTGCCTTCCCTACGGCCTTTCTCCGGGGCCGGCACCTCTTCGGTCGGGCCTGCTGGGACAGCGGTTTCCTCGCCGTTCAGACGTGTGAGCGGGGAATGTCCAGCTCCTGACAACTCACGCCAACTAAAGTAACAGCAGTAACTAGGCAAACCCTGACGTGCCGTTCAGAGGAATCCCCCCGCGCGGCAGAAGCAGCAGGAACAGCGCCGCAAAAGCAGAGGCCGCTCCCGCGGAGCGGTGGCAGCAGCAGGGCACAGCTGACGCCCAAAGCAGGAGGCAGAACGCCAGGCTGCGTGCTGCCAAGGGGGAGAAGCCAAGGGGGATACGCAATCGCTCCGTGGGTGGCTCTTCCGCGGCAACGGTGAAAAAACCAAGCGCCCTCTCGTCTGCAGGAGGTGGCCGAACAGACGAGCGAGCTGGGAGGGGACCATGAACAACAGCCCCGGGGAGGTGAGCTGCCCGACCCTCCTTAACGGGGACTGCCTTTCATCCGAACAGAGCCCCCCGAGCGCAGCGCCCTGCTGATGCCGGGCCACGCCCCAGCCCCCTGTTCCTGGGGTGAACAACCAACTGGAAAGGGAGAAAGGAGGACACCTACTGATCTACTATTTCTTGGAGGTTGGCTTGCAAGATGATCATCAGCTCTTTGAACGTCATCCACTTCTTCACGTAGATGGGAACTTCCTCTTGGTATTTCTTATTTTTGTCGTCTTCAGGGAGCGGGGTGAAAACTTGGGGTCCTTCCTCCACCATGGTCCTACAGAGGGAGTGCAGCCTGTCCGCGTCGTCTGCAGAGATATCCTGGAATTGAAGGGATGTTGACAGGGCAGCAGTCAGATAACATTTCTGGAGCGCCAAGCAGCAAGCGACATGAAAACAAGGTGGCTGTGCGCGGGAAGATGAAAGCAGTGGTTTAGGCCGCGTTTAACCTTCTCAACGTGACGTAACCCCTTTAATGAACGGCTGCTTCAGCAAGTTCTCAGCGACTGCCTCGGAACAAAACGGTTGTGCTTCTGAACGGCGTGCCCGGGTGCAAGAGCAAGCATTTCACGGTGCAGCAGAGGGGTTCTGACGAAGGTCTGACCGGTTTACAAGGAAACTGCTCGGCCATTGCCAGCCCAGCGATGAAATCCAAGCTTTTTGGCAGGCGCAGCCTGAGCGAGCGTCCTGTAAACTGGCTGCTACAGCAAGAGGACCTACTGGTCTAATGCACAGCAGGAAGGCTCTTTGGAGGTAGACAACAACTAGAACAGGTGCACTAACAGATTTCTATCATGTGCTGTGAAAACATTTTAATTAAGAAACAGGACAGTTGTACTTGACTCAAGGTAACCTGACAATCACTTAAACACCGTACTGGGAGTCAAACGGAGATTTAAACAGGTAAGGAATTGGGTTGGAAACGCCACAGGTATGTCAGCATCTGCTGCTCAGATAGGGCGGGAAGGTTCATTAGAGACGGACAGATGGAAAACTGAATCAGAATAGATGGAGTTTGAGGCAGCAGTTAACTCCTGTGCCCTGAACAAAGACAACGAGGTTGATTCATGGAAACGTTTACAGCGGCAGTGACACGCCTAAATCCGCCTGAAGGTGACACCACGGCCGCCTCCCTGACCGCCCCCTTGACGACAGGGGCGTGGAATCGCTGTACGAGTGTCCGTGGTCTGACCTGCATGTGAGTTACTGGTGTCTGGACCGTCGGGCCACGGTCATAATTCCGTGAAAGATGACTGTTCCCCTGACACCTGATCTTGGAAAGAGCTTGGAGAGGTCACACATGGTAGCTGTTCACACCACCCCACGCCTGGCACGTCCCATCTCGTGCAGTTACCTCTAGGGCAGCAATCCTAGCGACGATCTCCGAGAGAGCCGTGTTCAGTAAAGTCCCCATGGCCTTGCAGTATACGTTCACCGGAAGGACATCTTGCCAGACTTTTCCCAGTCTTTTCAACTGATGCAGCACCTGGAAGATAACAGCTATGTGTCACCTATATGTTATCACAGAGAACGCTGACAGGTACCAAATGACACGGGGACTATATAGGGTGAGAAACCAATCCGAGAGAAGCAAGAGGCCATGAAGCATCCTGCTAGCGCACAGAGCAGACGCTCCTGGGACAAAAAGCAGCATTTTCAGTTTGTATTAAGGCTCATCAAAAGGGTGACAGATCTTTCCCTTGAAAGACGAAAAGCATTATAAACGTACTACAAACAAAAGTTCAAGATTAAGAAGCTTTTCTTTTCAACTTGGAGCAAGAGGAACTGAAGTCAGTATGCTTCAATTTCACAGAAAGACAGAGCCCAGGGGAGGAAAAAACTCATGCCAGGAAACGGTTGTTTTGAGAAGTTCCACCCTGCCGAACCACTGCACAGTTCTGGGGACTGAGCTTACGTGCTGTACCTTCCCGAGGACATCTACGGGCGCGGGGATATTTGGCTTTGATTGCCTTGCTTACCTGCCGTATCGCTTTGTTTGCTGCACAGTAGTTTTCCTCGTCATCCATATTAGAAAAATTCCTGGCACTTGACAGCCTCTCCAGGATCTCCCCTTTCTGCACTCGTATCTGGGCCAGAAAACACTCCATCCCTTTAGGAGCAAAAACAAGCGGAGAGAAGCAATTAAGCAATTATTAAATTTGCCCTGCCAATTTAGAGACTCTAAGTGCTGAATAATGAACTTGCTATAACGCTTTATCCTTAAAGGCATTTCCAGTCTCCAAACAGTCTCCCAGAGCCCATTTAACCAGGCCCAATCACAACTCAGTCAGCACTCGCGCGGCTTGAGTCGCAACAACGCTTCTGGAGAAGAGCCGAGTTACGGGTGGCGGGCTCCTGGCGGGCTCATACAAACTTCAGCTCAGACTTTGTTTCCACAGGATAAGCTAAAGCAAATACCAAAGGACTGAGCAGCAGATCCCAAAACATCCGAGGGCCGCAACATCTCGCTGGATAATGAACTGTTCTTGGAGCTCTGTGCTTGACAAGAGCAGCTGGGTTTCAGGGTCAAGCCCTGAACAGCCATCTGGCTTAGAGTCAGACTTCCCAATCCAGGAAACATCCTTGCTACTTGTCCAAAACTCTTCAGTACCAATCCACTGCCCGAGTCAGC